GGAGATTTTGGGACAGGAGCAACAACAGGATCCGTAGACAAGGTAGAAGTCGGAGGAGGTGCCAGTGTCTGTTGATGAGCATACACTTGTCGGATTGGTGGTCATTCAGTAGGAATCTGCACTGGAGAAGGTGACGGTTCAGCCCCAACTGGAACACCCGGAATGGGATCACGGATTGGAAGAGGGAGAGGAAGCAAAGGTGGAGATAACGAAACTTCAAGTCTTGAGAAGAATGGAACGGACTCGAAAAACGTGACATCAAGACAGACATAGAACTTCCGAGTAATGGGATTGTAACACTAGTACCCTTTCTGGGTCCGAGAGTAGCCAAGAAAGATACACTTAATAGAGTGTGCATCCAGCTTGTCTAACCCAGGACTCAGATTGTGAACAAAGCACACACAGCCAAAGACCCGAGGTGTTAATGGAAAGGGAGACAAGGTGGGGAACAAAATAGAAAAGGGAGACCGACCATGAAGGCTGAAGGATGGCATCCAATTAATAACGAAACAAGCAGTAAGCACAACGTCACTCCAAAAACGTTTAGGAACACTCGTATGATGAAGAATAGATCGAGCAATTTCAAGGAGATGACGGTTCTTTCGTTCAATCACCCCATTTTGCTGAGGGGTGGATGCACATAAAGTTTGATGAATGATGCCTTGTTGTTCTAAATACTGTTGGAAAGAAGTGAGTAAGTATTCACGACCATTATCTAAACGAAGAACTTTGATTGGAAGACCAAATTGCGTTTGTATTTCAGCATGAAATTTTTGAAAAATGGAAAATAATTCACTCCTTCATTTCATTAAATAAATCCATGTCATCCTTGAACAATCATCAATAAAAGTGACAAAATACTTGTAACCATTATAAGACTATTTTAATCAGACCCCAAACATCTGAATGAACTAAAGCAAAAGGACAACATACGACTATCAACTCTAGGACTAAAGGAAACCCGATGGTGTTTCCCATATTGACACGACTCACATTGTAAAGATGACAAATGACACAAAGACGGAACTAGTATCTTGAGTGCCTTGAGGGATGGATGTGTCCCAGCCGACAATGCCATTGTAGAGGAGTGAGGGAAGTCTGAAGTGCAACTGATGATCCACCACCGTCAAGATAATACAATCCACTGGATTCATGCCCTCCACCAATCTTCTTCCCAGTCTTGAGATCCTGAAAAAACACAAAATGAAGGGAAAAATGTAATAGAGCAATTAAGGGCCTTAATTTACTAACTGACATAAGATTGAATGGAAATTTAGGTACATATAGAACAGATGATAAAGAAAGAGAATCCGTGTCAACATTACCAACACCACAGATGGGAGAAGAGGAACTGTTGGCAAGGGTAACAGTTTGAGATGTGGAAGTTTCAGAGAGGGAAGAGAACACACCTGGAGTCCCGGTCATGTGATCAGAGGCTCCAGAGTCAATAATCCAGGGAGAGGGTTTGGATGCCAGACAAGCAATACCTAAGTGAGCAAGGGTGGCAGTAGTATGTTGTGAAGTAGCCTGAAGGAACCTTTCATACTCATCGCGCGGTACACTCATCATCTCCTTCCCAAAAACAGATGTAGAAGGTGGGCCATGGAGATCATAACAAAAATTCACTGAATGTCCTACCATGGCCTCCCCCTGAGTCACGACCACCACCACGGCCAAATATGGAACCACCACGACCTCCTCGAGATCCATGTCCTCCCCCTCTATTACCACGTCCACCTCCTCTAGCTACCACAAATCCTGATCTGTCAGACGGTGCGGTACTCTCTGTAGAACCCAAGGAGATCCTGCGAAGCCTTGCAAATACTTCCTCAAGTGTAGGAAGAGTAGAGCCTTCCAAAATTTGGGCTTTAACTGGTTCATACTCTGATTTCAGCCCCACTAAGAACCTAGTGACATCCAGTTGCTCCCTTTGTTGTTGCTGAACCTTAACATCTAGAGTTAGGGGATGATAGACATTTAATTCATTTCTGAGGTTTTTCATACTGGCATAGTATTCTTCTAGGGTTTTATTCCCTTGCTGTAGATCAAAATACTCCTGATAGAGCTGATATACCCTTGTAGTATTATCCTGCCCAGAACAAAGCTTCTTAGCATGTTCCCATATGTCCTAGTTGTATCTAAGAACATAAAGTTGGCACTTATTTTGGGTTCCATACTATTCCATAACCATGTCATGATTTGGGCATCTTCCTGTTCCCAGTCATGAAACCTTGAAGAGTCAGCTGATGGTTTATCTTCCTTCACATGCTTCATTTTCCTCTTTGCCTTGAGAAAAACTTCCACTAACTTGGCCCATGGTACATAGTTCTCACCATTAAGTTTAATTGAAGTCATCTACACACCCGAATAGTTAGAGGAATCAGTAGACTAGGTTTCTGATCACTACAACCATCTCCAGTTGCTGCCATGATGCCCTCCCAATGCTACTTCTAATGCTGAATCCCCAGTCACCAACCGAGTACTGCTGTCAGGAGTTTGATGTTCCAGACACTACAGCAGTCTCCAAACACAGATGATAGGTTCACAACCAGTCACAATCAATCACCACTGAGCAAACTACCATTTAGATTAATAACGAAAGGTAAACCAGCATTCAGGCAGCACCAACAAGGCAGAAAATTGATGTGGGCAATTCGGCCATTCCTTCAAGCCCAAAAAAAAAACACAAACTTTTGTTCTTGTTCACACCACTACTGATTTCACAGAACCATAAATCACAATGACATTAATTCAGCAACTCACTAACCACATACGACCATAGCTGCTCAATAGAGAGTGAGCATCACAAACACCACCACACGACCATAGCTGTCACACATGGTACAAGTCTGTCTAACCTTTTCAGAGGGCACTACCAGTCCAAAAAAAAGAAACATTAACTACTACCACTGCAGTAACCTGTCAGTCGATTCAGGTCACTTGTGACCGACAGAGGTTTCAAAACAATCAACAGACCCACACAAAAGGGTCAAACATACCCTTACACCATTCGGTCACTGTAAACATAGCCTGTTCTTGGACTTTTTTCCAAGAACCAAGGCTACAAACAACCTAGTTCTTTAGGTTCTGATCAGTCCGAGCAGATTTTTGAAGGCTTTCAACCCAGAAATACTAACAGCACAAAAAAAAAAGGTAACCAATCTCGATGGAGAGCTTCAGTCGAGCATCCACTTACTTCTGGAGTTATTTTCTTGAAAAACAATCAAGTTCTGAGCAGAGGAAGAAGGACCGAAGTGTTCTCAGACGTAGGTCGAGTGTTCTCCATTTCCAGTCCAGAAAGAAGAAAAAGGAAGTCACAATTAGAGAGGAGCAGATTTAGAAAGCAACGTCCTGCTCTGATACCATGTTTGTTCAGTGGCTTCAACAGTTCGAACCAGAAGAAGAAGAAGAAGAAGAAGAAGAAGAAATCAGTCGAACTTGGTAGCCTAAACCCTACCATTCGACCATAATATGGATTAGGGGTTTAATTAAGTACAATGACTAAACTACCCCCACTTAAGTATGGGACAGGAAGTCTAATTAGAACTGCCACATAAGCACATAACTTAAACTGATTGAAAAAGACTAAACTACCCTTCATTCAGCTAACTCTAACAGTCCCAAAACCAGAACTAGTAGAAAGCAAACAAGAAGTAGAAATAGAATCAACCTTCTTCTGCTCAAACTCCAAAGCAAATAGCCAACCCAGTCTAAGCCCCTTCCCCTTCAGCTCCCCAGTTTGTTGGTCTTGTATCAAACAACCATTGGAGGAAAACAAGACAGTGTTAGCATCTTCTACAAGTTGGCCAACAGAAATTGGTCAGTTTAATCGGTTTTAATTGAACCAAAGGGAAAATCCAAACCATAGACAGCTATCTCAGGAAGACCAGTAACCAACTAATTAAAAGACCCATGTCGGACCCACTACAAACCTATATCCTTGGAAAACTAAAAAATTGGCTTGAAGACAGGACACTTATGACAAAAGAGTTATTTAGGTTTTTAGGTTTTTTTTACTTGGTAAATGCTAAAATGCATTCAATTCTTCACATTTGGACAGAAAGATATTAAATCATGACCACACATCCCCTTTGTATTGGCATGTGTGCCCAAGTATTACACTGGGTCCCACCAGGCCCCATGAAGTTTGTGGATCAGATTTTCACCTGCTTGTATGAAACTCTGTCATTTCATATCAAATCATTGCCTTTTACTTTTTTACATTTTTTTTAATTTTTAGTTTTTGGCTTTTTGTGGGAGACAGTCAACTATCAACCTAACACTGACAAGAGACTAGAGAATAGAGAGGTGGGCTAGCGGTTGACAATCTGACTCAACTAACAAAAGGAAACTGGGTCATCGGTTACTAACATTTTTTAAACTGAAACTGACTACATTCTCTTAGAACCAACCATCTTGGGTTGAATTGGTCAGATTTGGCTGGTTTTTAACATTCTGTGAACAGCCCTACTGTAAACTGTAGTCTTTTTGGAAGAAGAGCTCGCCACTTCTCTCCACTTTCTTATGATGTCATTTATTGATAAAATTGAGAAGATCTCCATTGTTTTAGCCCAGTGATCCACCCTAGCTGTAATATATTCAATCAATGTCATGGGGCTAAAGCATAAAGCTACCGTGTTGCTACTTAAATGATTGGATAGCTGGAAACCTGACTGATTTTTACTGGATTTCTATGATTGGTAGGGAAACCTTGGGTGTGTTTCCTCTCATTTAGGGTTATGTGCAATTTAGTCTACCCCTTCAGGAAGAAAAAGTAAAAATGAAATATATATACACAAATATGCAATTGGAGCCTTATGCACACAAAATGTTCAGTAATCATGGGTAGTGTAGTGTGTGAATAACAATTTTAATGCCCTGGACAGAACACTTGTTAGCGTGATTTGATTCATACTTTTGCCTTCATGGAAATCCTTTCTCATTCATATTTATTTTTCATTTGAAGATCCCAACATTTTCGTTCTACTTACTACTTTCAGGTCAATAAGTGGTTCAAGAATGCTCGTTATACAGCTCTTAGAATCAGAAAGGTCAGCTTCTGAGCTCTCAACATCTCTATTACATTTGTCAAACATTTTCCAGCACAAAGAAGTGCCATATCTTTGTGGACAATGGTTTTTCTGTTGTCTTTGCGAATACCCTCAGATGAGAAAAATGGATTAATGAAAAATGTTCATGCATGAACTGGATAAATTATTAATTGGTATATTGAACAGAATTTGAATTAGAACAGCATCACCTGAATCTTTCTCATATTTTACTCTTATTTTAATACCAAAAACATAGTTGTCAAGGCATTGCCTCACCTAGACTACTAGGCACCCATGGTTGAATGCCCAGCTTGAATGTCCTGGCTTACATAGGTGCATGTAGAAAGTAGAAAGTAAAACAGGAAGTACAAATAGAGTCAGATTTCTTCTTCTCAATCTCCAGGGCAAACAATCAACCCAGTCTAAGCCCCTTCCCCTTTACCTCCCTAGTTTGCTGATCTTGTACCAAACAACCATTAGAGGAAAACAAAACAATGTTACCATCTTCCACAAGTTGACCAACAGAAAACAAATAAGTAATTAATTTAGGCACAAATAAAGTCTTGGGTAAGTGAAAGTAAGATGACTTAGAAGTAGATAAAAGTAAATCATCACAACCAAGTATATCTAGTTTTTCACCATTCCCAGTGATAATATGCTATTAGGGAGATGGGGTTTAGGAGACTGACCAACAGAAGCCCCTATCATGTGGTTGGAGGCACCCGAGTCTATGATCCAAAGGTGGTTTGATGAAGGGAATAAGGTAGAAGACTTACTAGACAGGCCAATAGCAGAGAATGCGGAAGAGATAGCCAAAGACATGAGCTGCCAAATCCTTTCTCTAGAAATACCACCAGGATTATCATTCTGAGAAGCCACTGAAGTGATAGATGATGAGGCATCTGAATTCTCTACGGATGTATGATAGGCTTTATAAGACCCTTTCTTCTGATTAGACCCATTTCCTTTTGGTGGTTGAGTGGGACACTCTGTGATGATATGCCCTTGTTGCTTGCAGTATGTACATGTGTTCTTACAGTGTGACACAACATGTCCAAACTCCTTGCATTCATAGCACTGAATTCGGGCAAAATCCTTCTTCCCCTTAGACTTTGTTGCAAGAAAAACAGCATCTATGTTAGAGAAGAAAAACAGTCCCAAAAGAAATAAGAAATCAGATTAGAAAGAAGAAGAAACATAAGGAGACAGCAAGAAGAGAAGAAGAGGAAGGGAACGATTGAGAAGAAAGGGTGAAAGA